TAATTTAAGGAAAAACAAATAATTTGTATAAGAAGATATAATTGCAATTTATTTGTCTATAAAGCAATAGAAGTTCAGTATTTCATGTCACTATAAATAACAATACAGTAAAAATAATTGTAAAACAATTCTAATTTTCATTCATAGCAATATAATCTTGCATTGCATACGTCAGCAAAAGTTATTTACGAGGTACGAGGCTGGTCTATCCTCGTACCTCGTACATTACCTCATAACCTCGTACAAATACGAGGATCCTCGTACAAACGGCAACACTATTCATAGCCACAGCAACAGCAACTATTTTTATGACTTACAAACAGCTGAAGAGCATTTGTGTTTTGTTGTTTGACAGGTGTACCAACTACAAGAAAAAAAATCCCCCAAATTGAAAATGTCGACTCTAAATGATGAAATCTCACTTTATCTCCAAAGCAAGAGCTAATCTGTCATTTTTAAATTCAGCAGATGGATATGCATGTTAATTGACTATTTTCGAGCCCGAAACATTTTCATTGTTGCCCAGTGTTATTAGTACGTTAAAATTAGGAATCGACCGAAATATTTTTACATCGTTTTACTAAATTAGGGATGAATCTCAACTTACTCTGTAACCAACCACAACTTAATTAATATAGGCTTAACGCTAATCGAACAAGAAAGATCTTCCGAAAGTCCAGGTGTCTTCCAGTTGCTAGGTTATAAAAAATATGGTGTAAAATACTATACTTTATGAAAACCCGAATTTACAATAGTTTAATTGTAAAAGTCTTAAATTGTTATAAAAAGGACAAGATTTACTTTCATTTAATAAAAATTAATCTAGTTTACTATGAAGTGGTGGTTAAAACTTACATTAAACAGTTTTTTAGTTGTTTCTTTTTATTCAACAGAAAACGTAGTTGGCTTAAAAATTGCAAAAAATTTTAAGTTTTCTGATTCTTTTTATGTAATCAGACCATGGTTTATGGTAACGTTTAATAAGTTTTAATGTCTACTGTCAGATGTTATCAATTATATGAAATTAATGTCAATCTAAACTTCATATCAATATAAAAGAATTATTCATCGATTGATATCCAATATAATTCTCTTTTCAATGATTTTTGAATTTTGGAGTCAGATCCTAATTTTACCGGATTAATAGTCTGTTCAATGATTTCCTTTGTTCTTTGGTTTAAATATTTGCAACTCCACGAATAATATTTTTCTCTCTTCAATTTTAATTCTACCGGATCCTAATTTTACCGGATTAATAGTCTGTTCAATGATTTCCTTTGTTCTTTGGTTTAAATGTTTGTAACTCCACGAAAAATATTTTTCTCTCTTCAAAATATAGTTTTATACGACCAATTTAATTTTATTTATGATATTTATAGACTGCTTGGAGAGCTCTTTCTGGCATTTTCTTCCGTGTTCGGAGGACGAGGCTAGTCTAGGTTCTCAGAGAAGTTCTATAAGAGATCGATTTCTCTCATCCGCGTCACCAATATTGGAAGTCAGTAGACTGAGAATGGCACTGGAGTCACAGACGCTCAAGCTTGAGAGAAGCTGGCCATTGCAGGACTCCATGAACATATTTACAAAAGAACAAGGGAACACCGTCGATTCAACCTTCGGGGAAAAGTGTAGGGATGGTTGGAGCTGGTTAAGGATTGTGCCAAGGGAGGATCGTAAATAAGGTTCCGATGAAACGGGCGGGTTGGCCGAACGGGCTAACGTATGTGCATAGCCGGCAACCTGATATATGACACAATTGATATAAAATATTCACGAGTTCGCGTCCGGGTACCGTGGAGGTCTTTTAAATCTCTGCCCACACCCTCTGGCCCCCTTAAACTCTCCAAACCCCGTGTAACCTTAAAGGCCAGGAAGGGAAGCACCCCCTCCCCCCCCCCCAAAAAAAGTTGCGATGAAAGTTTGTGAATCTAGATGGAATAAGGTCAAGGTTAAGGACATAAGGTCATGATATAAAGTATTGTTTCTAAGATAATATGGAGCATTGACTATTGTACGAAGAATTAGAATCGTTAACATACATTTGATGTTTGACAGTTAAGATTGAAGTGGTTAAATGAATATAACTTTTTCTGTGAATAATTTAATTATTTTTGTTTTAGTAATTTTTTTTTCTGTTCGTCCGATATATTACGAGAAATAAAAAACAAGATATGGCAGTTCTGTAATCGCCTCTCTTCCTCCACCTCCATCTTTTTAGTGTTCTCTCATTTTTAGTGTTTTATTAGTACACCGTCAAATAATTATTTTTAGAACAAAAAACTATTTGGCTGTACAACTATCCGGGTATAGTAAGAGTATAACACCTCAAGACAGTAATCTTTCTGCCACCCCATTATTTTTCGAAGAGGATCCATCCCCTCTCCCTCCTCCCCCAATACTTCACGGTATGGGTGAGGACTATATTATATTACAGGCAACAAACTGATTACTTGGTTATGCCTTTATTTTTGGCGCTTTGACCGTCCCTCCCCTCCCCGCCCCCATCCTGTCCCATGCATCGAACACTGTTATCAGGTTACAATAACGATGGTCTCCCCAATATTACTGAAGTGTCGGCATCTCTGAAGACGGCTACGTATTTTGGGAGTTTCAACAATCAATTTGTGTAGTGCTGGACCAAAAGAATACAACTCCACATCATTCCTGTCTAAGTCGAATTTAATCAAGCTTCACAATACAAGGGAATCAAATTCAAGAAAAAGCAGCATATCAACTCTCAAAACAACTATTATGAAGGCAATTTAGTAACCAAAAATCGAAAAAAACTGCAGTTTTTTTTTTTAAAATCAATCTTACTAGATTGCTTTATTATTATATCGACAGCCATAGTGAAAAAGCCTGTAAGAACAAAAACTAAAAATTTTCAAGTGACGAAAAAAACTGCGTAATTTTTATTATAAAAAAAACAAACAATGTTCCCACAAAAAAAAGTGAACGAACTGCCCCAAACATGGCGGACTGACGAATTTTGACTTTAGTTAGTTTTTTGGTCACTGGGAATCAGCATTGGGCTTAATTTCATCATAGTTGGTCTTTTATTAAAGCTGGATAGTCAAACAATAAGAAAACATGAAAAAATATTGAAAAATAATTGGCTTAAGCAATAAAAAACACCAGTAAAGTCAATTTTTTCAACAACAAAATTTTCAAGTTGAAAATCATGCGTCGTTTGTAATTAAACGGCCAACACTTACGCAAAATTTGCTGAAATAAAACATCTAAGGAATATATTTCTCTTCATATTTGACTCTGAGGTAATATGAATTATCAGTGTGTCAGTGAATATACAAAACAAAGTGTTAAATTGCAAACATTAAATACAAAATTCGAAGATATTCAGCAAAGTATTTTTGAATTAAGTTTTATTATTATTATTATTATTATTATATCATGTTTACTATAGAGTCCTTCTTAAACGACCTCCGTATAGAATAAAAGAAATTATATTTTAAAAAATAAATAAAATAATAAATTAAAAAAAAAATGGTTTAAAATATTTTTAAAAGTAATCAGTGTTTTAGAAAGAGAAATATATTCCTCACATGTTTTATTTCAGCACATTTTGGGTTATTCTTGGCCGTTTAATTACAAACGACGCTCGATTTTCAACTTGAAAATATTGTTGTTGAAAAAATTGACTTTACTGGTGTTTTGTATTGACTGAGCCAATTATTTTTCATGTTTTCTTATTGTCTGACTATCCAGCTTTAATAAAAGACCAACTATAACGAAATTAAGCCAAATGATTCTCAGTGACCAAAAAACTAACTAAAGTCAATGTCGTCAGTCCGCCACGTTTGGACACCATTTTGGGACAATTTGTACACTTTTTTTCAGGGAATATTTTTTTTTTGTTTTTAATAAATAGTTACAAGGAATACAACGATACGCAATTTTTTAGGGATGTGGGGGAGAGGGGAGGTGCACGGTAGGGGGTCTGGCCTACCGTCTATTATTAGAAATTAAAAAAAAAAGAATACAAAGCGTACGAGAAAAATTGATTTTAGTCTATTAATAAAGCTAATCGATACTGTGGTCTATGCGTAAAAACGCTTTATACATTCTTTATTCACCTGAACATCCTTTATTTCACTACGTTTTATCGGTAACGACACAACCTCTATAAACTTCATAGTAACTTAAAGTTTTTACGTCACGATTTGCTGGTTTTAAGATGCAGGTTTTAACAAAAGGCCATAGGAAAGATTTGAAACATCATAGATTTCATTTTGTGGGATCAGAATATGCGCCAGGTCAAGGTTGGCTAGAAAATCTCAAAACATTATTTTCCAAAGAAATTGTCCTTACAGGCTTTTGCAGTGTGGCTGTCGATATATTCTAAAGGTGAAAAAAGATTTACATAAATGATTAATCGAACACATTACCAATATTATTTAATTTTATCATTAGGTATTAATAAAAATGTTTATTATATCTTTTTGTATTGATCTGTACGTGTTTGTTATTTGTTAAAGTATCTTTTTTTTAAAATAATATTATAATTAATTAATTTATCTATTGAAATTTACAGACGTATATAAAAAATACTTGTAAAATTATGTACTATCCATATCGATTAGTAAAATTTTCGTTTATAGGTGACATAACCAAGAGACTTATTAATAACCTCTACAAATAATTATTGCCTTGTAGCTTCGGTTTCAACTGTTATGTGTACTATGTAGAGGTATTTTACTGATATTTGTTGGTAATAAATAAACTTATGGGTTTATAACTTTACCATAACTTTACATAAACATATTTAACTATATTTATATATTTAGCTATACGTATTGTATTTATTATACATATTATAATATAAAATGTTTGGAGTGAATTGATTTCACAAGTTGATTGTTGAAATGTTTGTAGGTATCTGAATTGATACCTATTATTGACACTTATTCAATTAAAAATTGAAAAAAAAAATTGGAAATCTCTGTCAAGTTATTGTTCGAAAACAGAATAAAACTTCTCACCCACAGCAATTAAATCCAGAAAATGAATTATTCTTTTCCACGTTTTGAGGCATTGTTGATTTTTCAGTTTCATCTAACCTATCGTTGACATCGAGTATGTTTCATGTCTTGTGTTCCAAATCAATATCAATTTCTTAACGTTATCATTAGGATTGGACATCCTTTAAACATATGTTGCGGGAATGCACAGATATCCTATTTTGCTGTCCTATAGTCTCTATAGTGCGCAGATAAACAGATTTTGAAGCCTAAATCAAAATTTGTGCCTCATATTGAAAAGGAATTTTGTTTATAATACTTAAAACTTAAAGGTTATAGAAGGTTAAATTGAATGTGACTGTTATCAGGAAAGGCGTGCAGGAGAATGATCGAAAAACGTCAATTTTTTCGAGTGATGATAAAGATATGGGAGTATCACTGAGATGTTACAATTTTTCGAGAAAAAAAATATGCAGAATTTTTTTCGAATAGTTTGACATTCCCTTACCTTGATTATTTGTCATTTTCCTGGCATCATGAGAAGTCAGCTTTTTGGACTCGAAACAACTTAATTACTGTGATGGGTCGTGCTACAGCTGGGAACCGCCAATCCCATGGACCGTATCTTGAGCTGAGACCCGAAGGTCATTTTCCTCCGGAAAAACGGAAAAACAAAGTCATTGTTCTCATTGAAAATTCTACGGTGAAGTAAATTCCAGCCTATCACGTTTCGGATTTTCTTTATTTTTTTTTTAAATCCCGTTAAAACGGTTTATAAACTAGATAGTAGGAGTTCTGAGCCGTTCAAAATATAAACTGAGGAATATTGTATGGAGAGGAGTTAGATGAAAAACTATTTTCGGGTCCTTAGTTATATGGCCTAACCGCTTCATAGTGGACCAGAGAAGTTGGGGACTTAATGGTAACAGCTGATCTGCCGCAGACAACAACGACTTTTCAAAACATCTTTTTGAAATTAAAATAAATTATTTATTGTTTTTATGAGTAATTTAGGTTATCACCATATGTCTTAAAAGAATCCTTGCATGAAACCCAAGGAATCATAACGTAAAAAATAAATAATAATAAAATAAATGAATGAAAATAAGTTGGAAGGTATAATGAGTGTTTATACAAAAAATAAAGTCCAATTCAACAAGTAGGATATTTTCACTTTTTTATTTCATGAGATGAATAGCAAACAATTTTTTAATTTATTTATTTAGAAATATAATAATCTGTCACGTGGACAATAATTATAGTGAGATATGAACACATTCACAACATATATACAAGCTAACAATTAAGTGAATGTAAGAACAGGAAATATGTATCTTTCAATTTTGTACAAACATCTTATAGATCCGTCGATGAGATAACGAACCAAAAATTGATTCATAAAAACAGTTTATATCGGTAAGATGTGAGAGTTGTAAAAATAAATAAATAAACTATTAAGATAAGGGAGCCAAAAAGGTATTGCCTAGTCGCTCAATAAATTTTCTTTGGAGGGGAGGGATGAATTCTTAATAGGGTTATGAATTATTGTAGGGAACCATATTCTTGAGGAGTTACGAAATGTGGAAACGTATAAAAGGCAGACTGTGAAAATTAGAAACATCCTCTTTTTTATACAGTCTCACTTATTTACAGTTGATTCTCAAAGAACTTTCAAATCAAAAAATAAGGAGAAGGATATGAAATAGACCACAGAAATCGTAATTGTAAATAAACTTTGCAAATTAAATACTTTCGCTTGCTATGTTTTTAAGAAAAGAGTAACATTTTTTTAGGAAGAATGGTATAAACCCTTAGGAGGAAGGTTACTCATGTACGAGCATGATGACTTGGACTTACTTTTAGGGTACTTAACGAAAATTAAATGGACTTCAAACCGCTATAAAATCTCCACAATCCTAACTATCAAATATTTAGGTCAAGCAGGTTTTATTTATATATGATCTTTCTTTCAAAGAAATCAATAGACCAAGCAAGCTGAATAATAATCGTGAGATAGAACATCAAGTGTTATCAGTAATTGAAAATAAACTAAAAAATACGGGAAGAATTCTTGTCCGGCCTCTTTGTGGATAAATGTTTTAGTTGCATTTGACACTATTTTGGCCAGCTACAACATAGAGAATAGAGACAGTTAAATTATAATTTCAAAACTCAAAGACATTTTTATAATAACCATATTAGGTAGAAAAGTCAGTATAAAAAAACGATGAATCTCAATTTTCTATTACAACTTTAATAAAACTTATTGAAATAAGTTGTTGTTTTCGAAACCTCGATAGTGATATCGATCAACAGATCGAGATGGGATATCAAGATTTAAAGAAATTCGAGGTGGAGAATAAGACACGGTCGAAATGTTCCCATGGAAAATTTTAAAACCATAAGATTTTTCGTTTTTGAGATAATATCCCAAGTAGTACCAGCGTTGTCATGGAACATATATCACATGTCATTATTTATGTTTTTAAAAATCAAAACATCGCTATTTATTATAATCTATAGTAAATTATAAATCTATTAAAGAAGTAAATAAAAGAAGTATCCTTGAGATCCCTTAGGCACAACAGCGGATAATGTAGAAACCAACATTTGATACTGTTAATAATAATAATCACATTTTGAGGACATGATATTATTTTCTTAATTGGTAATACATCCGTAGCGGTGATGAAGTTTTTAACTCAGGGTTAGTTTCTATATTCTTAATAAGTGAAAGAACAACAATACTAGCCCTACTGGTCCAACCCAATAGGGAGAACAAACTGGATCAGTACAATAGAAGTTAATTATCTATTAACTAAACGGTTACTTCAACATAGTCGTTACAGAGGATATAGCGTTACCGCCTACATTTATTCAATGAATTTCTTGATAATAGCATATTTTTTCTACGAACAAAATTTGATACTTAGGATATATAAGAGAGAAGAGGTTGACCTCAGCAAACAGAGGTCGTTTCTCATGGGAAGAACATCAATCGGATATATGTTATCGTAGCATTGTCTATGAGACTCTCAGGGCCAAACTTATGAGGGAAACAGCACACGATGTTTTAATGAAGAAGGAGTTTATCCAGCTCATTAGTAAAGTAAATTATCCCCACTTAAAGGAGTTTATGTACAGGAGAAGATTGCATAACCAGCCCTCTTCTCCTTAGGACGGACAGAAGGAATTTTAGCAGGGAGGCCATCGAATAGAGGAGAGACAGAAGAGGTTGAGGGCCAAAACTAAGGACAGAACGCTCAGTCCAAGAAGTAATGGTGGGCCACTTACCTGCAGCAGTGGGTTTTTACTTAGACGTGAGGAATTCCCACTGCTGTAACAACCCGTACATACAAATTGTTCTCCACAAAATCTGACTGAATACTTTTCTGTTAAGTGCTCTCTATCCAAATACAGATCTTCAACGAAAAGAGAATCTTACATCTGAGATAGTGTTTGCGTATCATACAATTGGCTATTCTGTGCCAAAGCAAAGTTTACAGCTTTGTTGAAATAACAAAACGTTTGATATTTAATATTTAGTATGAAAAAACATTATTAAGGCCGCTAAGCTGGAGAGTATATTGACCCTAATATAGACGTTAAGCAGCCAACCTAAATAGACAAGCTTTCCATCGGCACGAGGCCGTTAGCCGGCCACTTCTTAGGGCGATGACGTCTCTTATTTTGATAACGGTAAGGGAAGGTGTGAGCATTGATGTTCGTGACTGGGGCATTACACTATCCCAACCTCCTCCTTCCAAATAACTAGTCATATGACAATATTACCGTTGGGAAAGCCAGCAAGCAACGTATACGTGATTCCAATAACAGTTAAGATATGTGGAAAAAAGTTAGTTGTCAGTAACACCAAGGAGTCGACGAAAGCAGGAACTGCGAACGCCGTGAACGGACGAAATATCACCAGAGGTCTACGGGATCTGCGACTGTATTTTGTCTTTTAGGTTTGGTTTTCGGCGTTATTGTTGTTATTTGTAACACAACATTTTATTCCAGAGAAAAAACAAACAATTCCTTTAATCACAAAGTAGACAAAGACACGATCTTTAGAGTATGATATATACATGTCTATATATATATATATATATATATATATATATATATATATATATATATATATGTGTGTGTGTGTGTGTGTGTGTGTGTGTGTTGTATACACAGGATGTCTTGTAAGTAGAGGGAAGTTTTTCTTGTAAGTAAAGGGAGTTTGTCATTTTTGAAACCATTTACAGAGGACTTCTGAGCAGCTAAACTAAGCTAAGTTCTGTATTTGATCATCCAACTATACACTAAATTTTCCCCACTTTTAGGAAAATGTCTTCGCTTAATAAGCTTTAAATTTGTATTAATTAAGCTGAGGTTTATTTGGGAAAAATTTGAGATTAAAAATATCATCATAGAGTTTTGTAAAAAAATTATATTTTTTCTCCTGCAAAGTAAAAGTATCCCTGTTTACAGAAAAATTTACTATAATTGATTAAAGTAAATTGTCTCCTATTACTTTGGTTATGTAGATTGCCAGGCGACGCGCGGCGATGAGCACACGCGTTAGCCCGCTCGGCCACTCCGCTCTCGCGTATTTAATTGCCAAGTTAAAAAGGAATAGGATGTATCGGAAAGGAATTGATTTAGTCACTGCTATATCATTGTTCAACATTCCTCTAATTTTTCCATTAATCTACAAACAAACTCCATTTCGCAACAGCCAGTTTTCCTACTATTGTTCAGTAATATTTTACTTTATCTGTAAAACGGATACAGCCGACATTCCTCAGACACTTGACAAGGAGGAAGAACTGTACGCACAACTCTTTGATTCTGACAGTATAATTAGCTATCAAAAGAGGTCCTGGATGAATTCTTTTGTTCCATGACCAATGTTTCCCGAATGTTCCGTAATGGATCAGCGGAAGAATGTAAACGTCCATTTCATTCGCATGAATCGTAAATATAGATGTTAAAAAAAAAAAAGTATTTGTTCTGAAAAGACGCCACTCTTCCGGACAACTGACTTATAAAAAGCCGATAGGCGTCCCTGAGAGGTAATAACACTAAAGTTGGTCATAGTTAAAGAGAAAATAGCAATCAAATATGGTGGATGAGAGAGATACCGTTATGACAAGAAAACCAAAGAAAGAAAGTCTGTAGTGACTAACCTTATCATTCTTGGAGTACCAATATTTTTAACAATGAACTGCCAATTCATATTTTTATCTTCAATTAATTTTACGTTCTAGTCACTTTTTTTTGTTAGCGGAACATTCATTGACTGTGGTTAAATACAAGTTTAAACAGATTCGGAAAACGAAATCGTAGTTTTGAGACCTTATAGTTCTGAAGATTCGAAAGTATGTACTTTTCGGAAAAAAACTACTAATTTGTTAAATAAAGTTGTGGGAAAGTTTACATGAGTAACAATAATACGTCAAGAAATTTATGAACAACTAATTTCAAAACCTATTTTTCTCTTATCCTAATAACAATCTTTTACTATAATAATAAATGTAAACAAGAAAAAACATTCCTGTATTTTGTACCCATATATTATGAGATGGCTTTATCGTTTATGAAGAAAAGAAGATCGTACATACAATTAATAAAATATAGTAGCTCTCTTTATGTAAAACAATAACCATAAGCTAGAGAAAAATGATATATACTTTTTTATTCATGAAATGCATTTCAGTGAAATTTATTTTATTTTCTAATTATCTTCAACACACTTCTCGCTATGTGTATATATATGTATACTTTATTTTATTTTTTCTTCTCCTAATCTTTACGCATAATCACTTAAATATCTTAGGGAACATATGTATATCATTATTTTATTTATTTATTTATTTATTTTTTGTTTTAGTTTTTACAATTTCTTTCCTTACATATTAACAGTTATTATTATTTTTTTTATTTTTATATTCCATCAC